CGCAGCCGCCGGGTCTTCCCCAGCTGGACCGACTCAGAGCTCAGCAGCCGCGAGCCCCTGGAGCATGGAGCTTGGCGCCTGCCTGTCTCCATCCCCTTGTTCGGGAGGACTACAGCCGTATAGAGGGGCGCCCGGCGTCCCGGGCCCCACGGGCGAACTCCTAGCCTGACTGCGGGGCTTTTTAAATGCTTCCCTTGGACTGCAGGGAGGGGTGGGGGGAGGGTGGGATTTCTTACCCCGTTTGTTACATTTTGAGGATAATAAAGGTGTGTGATCTGCTTTGGTACAAGCGGAGGGGAACACCAGCTGCTTTAAGCCCAAGGCGCAGGCAGGGAAGGAGCCCGAGTGCTGGCCTGGCTGGGGGTGTGCGTGTGTAAAGAAACGAGAAGGTTGCTTTTCAGGGGAGGGATGTTCATTCTCCATCTAGCCTGTTTTTGATATCACAGGGTAACAGGTGCGCCCCTGTAGCTGCGAAGGTGACAGGAGTTGGGAAGCGGGTCGTGAGGACCGGCGCCCACGCCAGATCAACCCCTGGAGGCCCAGAGCAGCAGGCCCGAAGGGATCTGGATTTCTTTATTAACAGACATGAGCACGACCCATTACATAAGTTTGTGCTTAAAAAAAAAAAAAAAAGGTGGAAAAGTTAATGTGAAAAAGAACCCAAGCAGAGAGGAGGGAATTGGGGAGGGGCCACCCAAACCCCGGGTCCCATCTATAAGCCAACCCTGACTTGAGTCACACCTAGGGCCTCCAGCCTGGGACCTGCCCGGCAGGAGAGAGAGAGAGCGAGAGGGCTGGAAGCCAAGGGGCCCCAGGGGGGCCTGATAATTCCTTTCGACCGAAGAGAAGGGCGGGGTCCCAGGGAGCCAGAGCCCACGAGCCATTTATTGCCATGTTTTAAAATTCGTGCAAAATATCTGAAGCCCTGGATAGAGAATACAAAGTGATATTTTTCCAAGAAACATAAAACTAGGAAAAGTGATGGGGGAACATTTTCCCACCGGAACCCCCAACTCCCACCAGGTCCCAAGCAGGGTGTGGCCTCCACCCTGGTCGGCCGAGCGGAGAGACTAAGCTACAATCTGGTCTGGGCAGCAAGGGGGTGGAATCTGCAACATCATCTCAACTACCAACGGGAGGAAACCAGTCAACTGTACAAGTCTATCAACTTTAAAAAAAAGAGAAAAGCTGTAAAAGTCAGGCCCTGTGGGTAGGGAAGCAGACAGATCCCCGGCCAGGGCCGGAGTCCAGAGTGGGTGCCAGGCGGGGCCGCCGCTAATGCAGGCGCTGCAAGCCGTCTGGCCAGAGGCTACCGCAGGTGGGCAGCCTTGGCGAAGGCAGCCGGGGGACAGTTGCCACTATTAATCACCACCCTCGAAGCCCTCTTCCTCTTCCGGTACTGGGTCTGCGTCCCAGCAGGTGATGTCGATCTCTAGGATATATTGGGAGAGGAGACCGCTGGGCAGATCTATCAGTTGTGTGCCCCCCAACCTCTAAGAGCTGTGCCAACTGTGTTTAGTAACACGGCTAGCCCTCAAATCCCATTCTGTCACCAGACTTCCCATCATTCATCCAGAGAAGTACTACCTGGAGGCTTGTTGTAGAATACAGGAGGTGGAGCCTTTGCACACGGCTCTTCTGATTGGGCGAACTCTTCCTCCTGTGATTGACTGAAGTATCCTTCACTGGCCTGTTGGGTGAGAGAGAGAGCAAGGAGAGAGAGGAGAGGAGGAGAGAGAGAGACAGACAGAGAGACAGAGAGAGAGAGAGAGAGCATAGGTCACTAGGCCCACCTGCCAGGACTACAGCTGATCTATCAGGCATGAGCCTGTTTCCCTGGCAACCAAGGATTCCAAGAGTGGTTGCTGGGGAAACACAGATGCCTGCCAGGGAACAAATGCAGAGATGGAAAGGGGAGTGGACAGAGCTGCTTCTCAATGTGCATCTATAAGCCATCAGCCCTCCCTGTTAGTCCTGACTACCGTCCCTCCCACCAGGTTGTCCGTCCCACCTGGGTCCCCTCCTTTTGAGTGGTCTCTCCATTGGTCAGCAGGTGAGGCTCTGGCTCCAGCTCCTGCTCCAGGACCTGGTCTACCTCCTCTAGAGCTGAGGGCATAGTTAGGACCTGGGAGGCACCCAGCGCCCCCCCTTCTCCTTCCTCCTCAGGGTCACAGAAGGTGGCTGGAGGTTCTGGCAGCTCATCAAAATTAAGAAGGTTGGCACAGCCCTCACCCACTGGTGGCTGCGGCTCCTGAGCTGCTTCATCCAGCAGAGGTACCTCTGCCAGGGAGGCCTCAGCACCTGAGGGTGGTGTGGGCACCCTGGGCTCAGCCTGAGGTGCTGAAGCCTCTTTCCCATTGCCAGGCCATAGATCAATGAGGCTGGCAGCGGCAGGGGTGACATTGTTGGCAACAGTGGTGTCAGTAGTGGCAGTGGAGGTCTCAATGGTGTCAGCCACGTGGGCATCAGCTACTGAGGCGGCAGAGGCAGCAGGCTCGGCAGGGGCACCCAGGACAGCCTGCTCTGGGGATTCTGTGCACACGAAGTCCTCCATGGGGCTGCTTGGCACCAGGGGAGGTTCCTGTGCCTGAGGGGGCTCCTCTGAGCAGCCAGCCCAGGCCCCAGGGCTTGCTGCTGCCTTGGCCTCCTTGCTGGTCTCTTCACCATCCAGCCTGGTGGTTGACTCCGGGGCCTCTGTCGCAGGACACATGAAGGACACAATGCAGTCGGTGCCCTTGGGGAAGGATAGATGCCCTGCCCACCCACTGAGGAGTCAGGGAGTTAGGGACTTATGGGGAAGATCTCCCACAGAAGCTTCTTTCCGGCACCAATCCTTTTTAAACCACTGGGTAGCCCAGGGAGGAAGGGCCACATGACCACGTCAGTGATGAGCCAATGAGGTTTAGAGAAGGCAGGGCTGACAGCAACCCCAGAGCTCTTCTCTGCTACAGCCACTTCCTTAGCAGTGTTGTGTTGGTGAGGAGTGGTCCAGTTCCCTTTGTTACTGTGGCAACAGAGACTGATGGAAGGCTAAGACACAGGTGGAACCCTTCTCTCACCTTGAGCTGGAGGGGGTGGTGGAGGTGGGGGTGGAGGCTGCGAGGATGTAACCTCATCCAGGGCCCTCTCAATCTGTTCAGTGACAGGAGTGGAGGCTGTGCTGGAGTCAGAGGGACTCCGGGTGGGAATGGTAGTAGGTGCCATCCTCCGGTGGCTGTCCAGGTGGCTGCCTGTGGAACAAAGGCCCAGGCTAGTCAGTGAGGGTTGGGGAGCCAGGCAGAATCAGGACTATCCACCGTGTCTTGAGTATGGGTGGGGGCGATGAGCTCCCCAGGCCCCTCAGGGGCCAGAATTCTGCTCCAGACCCTGTAAATCAGGCCCCTGGGGGCCAGTGCCCTGCAGGGCCAGGGACAAGTGGCAGGTAGTACCTGCTCTGGGGACAAACACCAGCAGTCAGCAGTCAGGCTGGGGGAGAAAGGGCGAGGGGGCTGCTGGGAAGCGGGGCCCTCCTTACCCCACCCTGCCGAGGCCTGGGGCTGCTACCTACATGGGAGGGAGGAAGAGAGGTTTGGGGTGCGGTGACAGGTGATATAGGGGAAGGGAGTCCGTGGAGGGGAAGAGGAGGAGGAGGAGGAGGAGGAAGGCCCACTGTCCGATGCCTTTATGAAAGGGCAGAGCAGTCTACCTGCCGAGACAGACAGACAGACAGAGAAAGAGACAGAGGACAAGAGAGGGTCAGTCTCCCCCACCCCTGCCCCAAGGCCTCACCCCCTCCCAGGGCCAGCCCTACATGTCCAAGCCACCTTCAGCCAGGTTCTACATTCAGCCAAGCTGGGACACAGCCTCAAGCCGTCGGATGCCTCCCACCAGCCGGCACCAGACACACACACGGGCGCACACAGGCCGGCTCTGAGTAGCAGCATGATGAGTATGGCACGGGCGCACACAGGCCGGCTCTGAGTAGCAGCATGATGAGTATGGCACGGGCGCACACAGGCCGGCTCTGAGTAGCAGCATGATGAGTATGGCACGGGCGCACACAGGCCGGCTCTGAGTAGCAGCATGATGAGTATGGCCCGCCATGCTCCCGGGAACCCAGCACACGACCAAGCACACGGTGGATGCCATTGCTCAGACCAGCAGACAAGAAAGAGAAGGGCGCTTCAAGGGGAGGCAGAAGGTACACAAGGAGAAGCCAAACAGGGGATCCGAGAAGACAGCTGCTCCAAGATGCTCAAACTAAAGGCCAGGGCAAGATCCCACCCTACATGCATCCACAGCCTTCAGGCCAGACCTAGCCCAACCCCGCACGGAAGCTCCCAACAGCAGCCGTGTGTCTGCCCCTACACCAAAGCTGCCCAACTGGGCTTGAGTACTAGCCACTATTCAGCCAATGCCCAACACTGACATTGCCCCACAACCCAGCCCCTGTGGGTGCTACCACCTGGAAAGCCGTGGGCGGAAGCACACCGAAAGGGTCTTGCCTTCTCCAAGGAGTCCTTGGGCAAGGCTTGTTTTCCAAGAAGTCATCCCACAGGGATTTAGGGCCACAGACTGAGGAATACAGATCGGGCAAGGATAGGGCCAAGAACTACCTGGTCGGTGGTTGAAAGGTGAGGGCACGTCACAACTGCCAGCAGAAGCCGATGCAACTCGTTCCTGCTGTCGGAAGAACTCCCGCGGGTTGTCAGGCCGCTGGGCAATAATGGCTGCTGCCTCCTGAGGGCACAAAGAAAGAGTTAGAGAGCTGGGCATGGCTGAGCCAGCCCGTACCCATCTCACTTGCTATCCCCAGCTCTCACCTCCACCTCGGATTCTGACTTCTTCATCTGGGACTCTTCCTCTTCATCTCGCTGGTCACCCTGGAAACCAAAGGGACAATATCTTGAGCATCTCTTCTACAACCCAGCAGGATCTACAACCTATGCAGCCTTCTCTTTTCCTTCAGCCACCTCATTCCCAGATTGGCCAGGCCTTGGGAACCTGCCTCACTCATTCCACATCTAGCCAGACACCCAGGGCCACTTGCTAACTTAAGCCACAGCAAGCACTGGCTGAATATGGCCTGTGGATTGGATCCTGAATTTTAAAGCCATTAAAACAACAACAACAACAACAACAACAACAAAAACTTTTATGTATGCCGGTGCTTTGCTTGCATGCTTATCTGTTCACCACTTGAATGCAGTGTTCCCAGAGGCCAGAAGAGGGTGTCAGATTCCTAGAACTGGAGCCGCAGATGGCTCCCAAATGTGGGTACTGGGAACTGAACCCAGGTCCTCTATAGGAGAAGCAAGTGTTGTTTATTGCTGAGCCATCTCTTCAGCCCCGGACAGCAAGTTTTTAAACCCATATAAATTAAGCTGCTGCTGCCAGATGGTGGTGGCGCACACCATCCCAGCACTCAGGACACAGAGGTAGGTAGATCTCTGAGTTTGAGGACAACCTGGTCTACAGATCGAGTTCCAGGACAGCCAAGGATGCACCGAGAAACTCTATCTCAAAAAGCCAATATTAAAAAAAAAAAAGAAAGAAAAGAAAAAAAAAAGTTGTTTCATATTGACTAAAAATAGAATCTGGTTTCTTATTTTGTCACACTAGGGATTGTACCCAGATCCTCACAGAAGGCAAGCAGGTGCTTTACCAGTGACTACACCCATAGCCCTTTATGTTTTTATTTTGTAACAGGGTCTCATTAAACTGTTAGGCTGACCTTGAATTTACGATTCTCCTGCCTCGCCTGGCTTTTGTTTTTTGAGATGGGGATCTCTCACAGGCCCGAGTATCCAGTTTGTATTCTATCTCTTTTTCTTGTGTGTGTGTATGTGTCCCTTACCAACCACCACCACCCCCCCTCTCTCTCTGTTCACTATAGCCCCCCATTGGGCTATTTCATGACTTAGGTTTTAAGACTGAAACTGAGGACTATAGGTAGGCAGGCCCCTGGCTTGGCTGCATTCCCTCCCTCCATCTGATCTAGTCTTCATCATTCCTCCAACCCCACCCTCTATCTCAGATCCAACTCGCCCACATACACTGCTAGTCGTGGACATAATGTCCTCTGCATGCTACAGTCACAGCGCCTAGAATAGTCATGCCGTTTCCCAATTCCATGCTTTGGCATGGGAGATCAGCCGCCCTCTTCCCACCCCCCAGTGCCTGTCCTACCATCACCCCAGTTTAAGGCTTCTGCTTGGACACTACCTCCAGAGCAAGGCTCATTCAGGTCACTTCCTTCTCTGGGTCCCCACAGGGAGTTCCCAGCAGACACCACAGATGGCACTACCTTGTGTTTCCTGTTTCTGGGGTCACTTCCCTCATCCTCTGTGAGCAACACAGGATAAAGCCCCAAGTCTTTGTGAGTGGCCAGCACAAGGTCAGTATGTGTCTGCTCAATGGAACTCACTAAAGCAAACACCACTTACGTGGCTTCTCCTGCTGTTCAAGGGACAAACTGGGGAGAAGGGGCTGCTGGGCAAGGGGAAGAAGCTAAGTGAAGAACAGAACTCTTTTCTTATAATTGAAATAGGGTCTTACTTTGTAGCACTGGCTGGCCTGGAACTCATGATGTAGGCCAGTCAAAGTCACAGAAGTATGTCTGCATCTTTTTTCCTAGTGTTGGGATTACTGGGATTACAGGCTTGAGCCACCACTCCTGGCTCAGACCCTCTTTGCTTTTGGGCATATAACCTAAAACTTGCCTAGTGTAGTTTCATCAGGTTCCTTTACTTTGTTTCAATCAAAGAAAGGAGCAGAGGCAGGTTGGAGAGACGGCTGAGTGGCTAAAGGATGATGGTTTAAGTTTGGATGCCCAGCAGACACACACTAAGCCCACAGAGCAGCACATGTCTGTGACGCCAGCACTGGAGGTGCAGAGGCAGACCTCTGGGGCTCGATGGCCAGACAGTCTAGCTAAAATGGTAAACACCACGTTCAGAGAGAGAGCCTGTCTCAAAAAACAAGGTGAGCAGCAATAGAGGAAGACACCAGAGGTTAATGTCTGCCTCTCCAAGTGCATGCATAGGTAAACGCACTGTCCACACCACAGACAGACAGACAGACACATTCACACTGTCACACACACACACTCATACACACATTCACACTGTCACACACTCATACACACGCACTCACACACACTGTCACACACAGTTACACACTCATACACACATTCACACTGTCACACACTCATACAAACTCACACTGTCACGCTCACAGTGTCACACACTCATACATACACACTCGCTCACTGTCACACATACACACTGTCACACACTCATAAACATTCACTCACACTGTCACACTCACGCTCTCACTGTCACACACTCATATACACATGCACACTGTCACACACTCACACTGTCACACTCACATGCTGTCACACTCATTCACTCACACTGTCACACTCATACACTCTCACTGTCACACACTCATACACACGCACTCACACACTCACACTGTCACACACTCATAAACATTCACTCATACTGTCACACTCATACACACTCACACACTGTCACACACTCATACACTCGATCACACACACACTCACACTCTCACACGCACACACACTCATACACACTCTCTCTCACACACACACTAATAGAGGAACAGAGCAGCTTATCACCTAGGCTTTCGCTGTGAACAATGTGACCTCTGAACCAAGCGCTGTAGGTAGGAGAGAGCAAGACTCCAGCAATATGGGTTAAGAGCACTGCTGTGCCTAAGTATTTTGACACACTAGAACGTCCTAGAACCCAAGGCAAAGAAGGAACCAAGGGGCTAGAGAAGTAGCTCAGTGCTTAAGAGTACTTGCTGCTCTTGCAGGCACCCAGGTTCGGTTCCCAGCACCCACATAGCGGCTCACAACCATCTGCAACTCCAGTTCCAGGGGATCCATTGTCTTCGGAACTCTGCAGGCACATGGCACACAGGCATACATGCAGGCACAACCCTCACACAGGTAAGAATTCCTGAGATAAGAAAACACTACAGGGTGACAAATTCCATTTCATATGGGACCTTCCTTAAAGGACCTGAAACCAGAAGGTCACCCTAACAGCTGGTTACAGTGTTGCTACATAGTTACTTTCCTGTGAGGTAACTTGAAGCCATGGATGGACTACAAGGTAACAGCAAAAGCTGGCAGCCACTTAGGATGTTGATAATTGGTAAGGAGGAATGCCTAGTTCAGAAGTCATCACACTAGTCCACTTTTGTGTGTGCATGCACACCTTTGAAATTTCTGTAAAACAAAGCTTTTTCAAAAGACCTTGCTATGAATGGGTAAACACAATATAGACCAAGATAGCAGCAATGAAAGAAAGAGGCTTCTCCAGAGACCCTGCATATGTGAGTCGTCCATAAAAGCACTGGCCTGTACTCATTCAGGACCTCTGAGTCACTTTCATTATGTAACCTAATTCTCAAGCCCCCTCCCTAAGTGCAGAGCTCATGACTAATATACCCCAAGTCCCCCAGATGCCAAGGGGGAAGTGGGGGCCAGGGCACTGAGGGGCTAGGTCAAGATTCTCTTCCAGTTTGGAGATAAGCATCTAAAAGAAGTCTGTCTCATCCTCACTGCCCCCCCCACATACACACACACACAAACACCATGTTCCCCCCACGGGTGCTGGGCCCAACACTCTCACGATATTGATATCCATGCCTGCTCCCAGAATACCCAGTACTAGTACTGTCAGAGGGTTACAGATGTCTCTAGAGAACCCCAGAACACATAGACCATCCTCACTTTCCTGGCCAGGCACGAGAGCCCTGGAAAATAACTTACAAAGATAGACTGTTCCTTTAGCCTCCTCTTGGCCTCCTCAGCTTCCAGAGTCTGCTGTTTCCTCCTGGAATGAGGAGCGCCGTCACACCTTCAGGGTGGGCTGGGGTGGGCAGCCCCCGCCTCAGGCCAGACCTCACCTGTGCTCTTCAATCTGCTGCTCCCGCTCTCGGTAACGCCGCTCTCGTTCCTCCTGCTCCTGCCGTTCCTGCTCCATCCGTTCCTGTTCAAACCTGAGCCTGGCGTCCAAGGCTTTCTTCCGCTCCTCCTCCTTCCTCAGCTCTTCCTCCTTCTGCGCCCACACCCACAAGTACCAGTCCTGAGCCCAGACCAGCCTCTGCCCCTCCATTCTACCCCTGCCCAGGCTGGGGAGGTGGCTTTCTGGGAAATGGGGGGAACGAGCCCTGTGTACAGGAGACCAAAGGGTTTGCTCTTTCGGCTGAGAGAGGTCAGAGCTACCCTGAAGGCTCAGGTTCGGATGCTGGGTCGTGAGGCTTAGGGTCAGCATTGCATACCTTGGCCTGCTCCCAAAACTGCTCGCGGTTAATCCGCCTCATCTCCACGGCTGCGTCTGTCTTCTGGTAGGCAGTGCCCTGCAGAGTCAGGTGACCCGACATGAGCACCAAGAGCAGGCTGAACGGCCTCAGTACTCATATGTGCACAGTAAGGACCGAGAGAGACAACTCAGGGACCATGTCACACGGGTGATGTCTTGTTGGGGAATATTATTCTAAATGCTGCATTTGTTTAACTCTGTGTTAACTGTGTTACTTTGCCTGTCTAAAACACCTGATGGTCTAATAAAGAGCTGAACAGCCAATAGCTACGCAGGAGAGAGGAATAGGTGGGGCTGGCAGGCAGAGAGGAGAAATATGAGGAGAAATGTGGGAGAAAGGACTGAGGGA